CTCCATAGCGGGGATCAGTGGAGGGGATCGTTCCCCTGGGATCCGGTCCAACTCCCCTCCTCCGCTCCCATCTGAACTCGTGCAGTCTCGATTGTTATTGATTGAAATTTTCGAAGGTGAAGAGCTACCTCAGCTCCAGTATTCATCTCGCAATGAGAACATAGCATGCCTGATTTTATTCTGCATTCTAGTAGCAATTTTTCATATTGAGCCAAAATTTCGATGAAAATTTAGTGAGCCACCATCAGAGCAGAAGTCTTCCCTAGTATGGAGAAATGAGACAAATGAGAAGCATGACGTATCTGTGAGTTTACAATGCATTTATGGCTCGAATGAAAGCATCTTTTTCAGAGTCCTAAAATAGATGTTCCAATACAGAAGAAGATACCGGAACCGATTCGGATTGTTAATGATGAGCAAACGGAAAAGACATCCGCTTTGGCTGATACTGGAGGCCGTGAGACCGAGAATCTTTCCGAACATCATGTAAGTTTCTGCTAAGCTAAATGCACTGTTGACATTATGTGAGCTAATCTTGACAAGTTTTTATTCAAGAGTTTATTTTAGGATGAGAATTTGCAGGTGAAAGCGCCACCTCCTTCATTTCCTACGATATTTTCGCCAACAGAACCTAAAGTGATGGAATTTCCAGAACCAGTAAGGGAGCCCGAGCCAGTGAAATTACCCCCTCCAAAAGCCAAGGTGGAGCTTCCGCAGTCTCTGCTGAACATCTAATGTGGAGAAGTTTTTCAGATAGAGAAAGATGACACAGCAGGTGGATTTGCTGCGCTTTTGCAAAAACGTGCGGCCAAATCCGCAGAAGCGAATCGCAGCGCTTTTGCCACTAAGGAAAGCGAAGCTGATATACAGTGGAAAAAGGTAGAGCGACTGTAGGAGTTATGGCACGCAGAGACGGAGCACCACTGCGTTCTCTCGGTGTCTTTCCATCGAGCGCGCTATCATCTCTCTTATCGTCTGCCATATCTCCCAAACACAAGCTCTTCGTAGTCGGCGTCAGTCTCTGCGTGCGATGCATTTATAATAAATTATTTGATCGTTCTTTCTTACACTCCTTTGTAGGCGGCTGAGAATCTGAAGTCTCGACCGTTAATCATTAACGATCTAGACTTCAGCGCGTTTCACGCCGAAGAATTCGAACAAGATCCTCTTGTAATGGCACGACTCGCGCAAATGGCTCAGGAAAAGGGAATGCTACCTGGTGATGGCCGACTGGGTGTCAACGGTGGACCACCACCACCACCTCCTCCCGGTTCAATTCCGCTCCCGCCGCGATGTGAGTCATCTGGAAGGCTTTACATAAATTTGCACGTCTCTAATCGGGCACTGTTTTACCGTGAATGACCATCGCCTGATGGAAGCTCTGTTAGCGTTATAAACGATAACCCATTGCACGATAGAAGCTGTCCCAGTTTTATAAACCACCTCTATAAACGAGGGCCAATTGCCTGATCAGGCGCTCGCTTGCAACGCGGAAGCCCGATCAGAGGACGGAAGATTGATGAACCAGCCGCTACGCGGCAGGTTCGGCTGATACTCGGCAGCTTCG